ACCCTCAGCTTCCAGATTTTCAAATAGTTGTATCTCAGCCAAATATGGAAATATTATTTATTCAGCATGTATACATCTCAATTTAAAAAAAATGTACCCATATGACTGGTTTTGTAGTAAATGATATATATATATATATATGTAAAACTTAATTAAAAAAAAAAATTTTTTTTTAAATGTAAAAACCTTATCAAATTCAGTTTAATTTAGTCTAATCATTAAACAAAAACAGTCTGAGGAAATGGGGAAAAAGCGTGGCATTAGAGGAGTTCACCTCTAACAATAGGCACACATTTCCCTCTGCTGAAGAAGCTGGAGTGCAGTTCTCTTGTGAAACAGATGTCAGAGGCAGCAGGTGCCCTGAGCACACACAGACAACAAATATATGATAAAGCAACAAAACACTTTTACACGAGTCTCCAGATTCTGCTTTCATTGACTCACCATCTCATCCTGTTAAAGCTCCACAGATGCCGGAGCTTCAGGACTCCTGTTATCAGAATGTGCACAAACACTTGAAATGCATTTACATTATCTACTGCCAAATCTACTCTAAAAATCGTTACCTCGGTTATATTAAATGTGTCTTTTTTTGTTGGAGCCATGATTTTATAACTCAATCTGAGGCTCTGCCTACCCCAGATGTGTGGATCATCCATACAGGACTGGTGATTGCAGACTGTGATAAGAGGCGTGTCCCGAGGGCGCTCATCAACCAGGTCCAACAAAACATCCTGGTTGTGCACCACCAAAGAGTTAAAATAATCTACAGAATCAGATCAATTAGGTATAGGTTACATCTTTCATAGTTCATAGTACACATTACAAGAGTACCCTACTAATCCAGGGACAATCATTTAAAAATAATATTATAATGTTGTGTAATCTATAATATTATAGACACAGCCAGTTTATTTATTCGTGATAAAATAATTACTTTATAATTGTATTAGAGTCTTACACACATGCAGTGAATCTGAGGCATGCATTAATTTGACTGCTGGCAGTTATTGTGGGAGTGACTTGGAGCGCAGGAGATGCAGATACTAAAGAAACTTTAATGCGGTCACATAACACATCTGCTTCAAATATAAAATTACATGAATCTCTAATTACAACATTGAAATAAAAATGTAAAGCCTGTACATCGCTGCATTGCTGATCGGGGTTTCGAGTATCGATACATCTGCCCTTTTTGGGGAACACGAGAACGCGCAATAATCTTAGACAACTTTACTGTAATCAAATCCACAAATTTGTTTGAAGAAGCAAATTAGCCAGAGATCGATCAGTTATCAGGATTAGAAGATCTGGCATCTTTCAAATCATCTCAGATGTGTTAAGTGAGGTACGAAGTACGGGCCCCATTTGTGCTTTGGATTTGTTTGGAAATATTTTCGTTGCCGAAATAGCATTAAAAAAAAAAAAGTGTCAAATGTAATTCAGTTAACATTAACTTCTTGTTTGTTGAACATTTGTATAAAATCAATATCATGGTTTGCAATCATGCTCATAATTATGAAAACAGCTCTCTTGCTCTTATGATAGGCCTATTGCTTAATTATCTGTTATAATACTGTACTGTATAGATCTCATACAAGTACTTTTTTGAAGTTTTTAGGCCTTTTTTAATTTTAAATTTGTGACAATTCCCCATTAAGTTCTTACCGGGCACAGCAGTGTCCAAAGAAATACAATTAGAAATAATTTATTGATTGCATTTGAAGCAGGAAGTTTAAATCCAATCATTAATTATGTTAACAAATAAATCAGACAATGCATTGACAATTTAGTGATATCCCCACAGTTGTGGTCTTCCTGAGTCCATTTAGTCCAGGGCTGTCCAAACTCGGTCCTGGAGGGCCGGTGTCCTGCAGAGTTTAGCTCCAACTTGCCTCAACACACCTGCCGGGAAGTTTCTATGGCCGTGTCCGAAATCGCCCCCTATACCCTTAAATAGGGCACTATTTGAGGGAACAGCCATTTTTAGTGGTGTCCGAAACCATAGTGGATGTTCTCGAGTGCACTCATTCAATCCCACAATGCACTGCAAAAACGAGTGTACAACTGGTGCACGCTCAACGGCTGGAGAATGCCCATAATGCACCGCGAGTCACGCGCCGAATGAATTCCCGCATCTTGCCAGAAGATGGCGCCCGCAGCTGAATAATCAATCCGTTCACTTTTACAAAGCACTCATCCATGGACCATGGCGTACAGCATAATGTACAACACGGGTATAAATTCATTGTAAATTGATTATTAAATTGTTTGATTAGGGTTTATACATAATTTCCGTCACAGAGTTCAAGATAAATCCTTTAATCTTACTACTGGAGCTGCTAGTTTCAAATGTTTAAAGGGGTCATATGATGCGATTTCATTTTTTCCTTTCTCTTTGGAGTGTTACAAGCTCTTGGTGCATAAAGAAGATCTGTAAAGTTGCAAAGACTAAAGTCTCAAATCCAAAGAACTTTTATAAAAGTTCAGAGTCAGCCACGCCCTCCTAAAACGCCCACATGTCTACCTCACTATGTGGGAAGATTTGCATAACGCCGCCCAAATGTTCACGCAAAGAAAGAAGGCGTAACTTTTATTCTCGCTGTAGTATTGTTGCTGCTGCCGCCATGTCGTGAAGACGCTGTGTTTCGTTGTGAAAGCGAAACTACTTTGTTTGGTCTTCCAAAAGAGGACGATATCCACTTCGTCATGCCTGGAGCTGATCCGTGCTGGTCGCTGAGGGAATACATCAACTTTCACCGTGGACGAAGTGGAATCCAGCCCGGCCTCAGTGCACGCTAAGCCGGGGCTTCCCCTCACGCTTGGCCGCTTTGTTTTTCGTTGCCACTGATGATTCAAACGTGAGTTTTGCGTCGCTCCGGCTGGACAGGGCATCACAGTACGGTGAGGGGTGTAACATTTCCATCACACGCTTGAGGTATTCGGCCAATCACAACACAATGGATAGCTGGCCAATCACAGCACACCTCGCTTTTAGCTTTGTACAAATCGACGTGTTTCAGAAAGGCGGGGCATAGAGGAGAAACAATAATGTACAGTATGTGGAAAATAATGTGTTTTTTGAACCTTAAACCGCATAAACACATTTCATTACACCAAATAATGTTCTTTTTAGCAACGTCATATGACCCCTTTAATAAACAACAAGCACAAGCTATGCAAAAGTGGCATTCCTTCCGGTGCACTCAGTGTCCGAATTCACTACTCGTTTTCATTCACTCCTTCTAGTGAACTGAATTAGTGACCTAATGTAGGGAACAGTGAATGAGGGTATAGGGGGCGATTTCGGACACAGCCTATGCCTAGTAAGAGCTTGATTAGCTGCTTCAGGTGTGTTTAATTAGGGTTGGAGCTAAACTCTGCAGAACACCAGCTCTCCCGGACCGAGTTTGGACAGCCCTGGTTTAGTCTAAAACCAAGACAAATGCAGTCGAGACTAAGACAAGACCGGTCTCAAGTACTACAACACTAGTCCACATTACTCAACATGTGGATGTGGAGAGACATCAGACTCACTGGTCCAGAGGTAGCTGTAGGAGCCCACCATGCCCATGACCACGCGGCCGGATATCCTCCAGCCCAGCCGGGGGCACTGTGGGAAGGGCCAGGTGACCTCCGAGGGCATCTCGGCTGATGAGACAGCAGAACATGTTAGGAGCGCACATATCTATAGGCAGTGATACAGGTCAGCTGCTGAGTATATAACTGCTCCAGATGGATCAGATATAGCATGTAATCATTCTGGGATAGACTTGTTAAGCAGAAGCAAGAGCTTTATGTCCACATGAAAACAGAGGAGCAGCGTGGCAGCTGTTAACACAAGGTACACAACATTGAGAAATAGCGTGATGTGTGAAAACATATAAAACATACGACATATAAACGCTGCTGGACGCTTAAGAAGTCAAACAATTAGAAACGTCCTCATTTTAAACTTGAAACGGAGTAATTTATTGCATATGGGTGCAGTTATTTATTCGCCACATTTCTGTAACAACAGCGTTAAATTATAATGTGAATTTGATTAATTGTAAAAAGTATAATTTTAAAATATGTAACCCTCCCACCTTCTGTCCCGTGCGTGCGCGCAGGAAGGCAGCTGCACCGGAAGTACTACACCATCACGGGCGATCATGGGAGTTGTAGTTTTGTAGTCTTTAGTTTCCTCGACCTTGACGTTTACGCTTTTATATAACTCCACATAAATCTTGAAACATAAAACAGTACTGATTAAATAATATTAGAAAGACGAAAAAGAGTGTGTCGTGACTGCGGAAGCACTTTTAAAATTAATTAACCAATATCAAATGTAAATACAATACAACATAATATCAGGAGATATAACAAGGAACATAGATAACAGCCAGGGGACAGAAAACCCAATTATAACCTAAATAAAGTGATACAAAATAATAATAATAATAATAATAATAATAATAATAATAAAACAGATAACATAAAATCAAGTATGAATAAATAAGCAAATAAATAAATACAAAGTAATAATTTTACAGGGGAATCCTGAAAAGAGCACAACAAGTTAGTGTTTTCTTCACTTTAGTATTTTCCGATGCTGAGAGCGTTTCGAAATATTGTTGCAACTTCTAACAAACACCGTAAAATGCGGCTTATTGTTGGAGAATTTACATTTGTGGATATGGTATTTGGCTAGGAGAAGCATAGGCGTAATTTGCGGGTGGGACGGGTGGGACATGTCCCCACCACTTTTTGCCAGGGTCGATATTCCACTTTTTGAAAGTAATTGAAAAATATATTGCGGAAGGTCGGCTATGTATTAAAGGGAAAACAAGATCAACAAATCATTCTTCATACACTACACGCACAGTTTAAATGCTAATACCAATGAATATCATCAGATATTTTTTGGATAAAGTAAATGTTACAGTTGGTATTCATTTTGAACTTCAGTTTATGAACTGATTTTCATGAAGCAGTCTGATGGGTTTTGTGTGTTTTTAGGATTGCACAGTGCACAGCTGCACAAGAAAGACCGTCGTGAGGAGGTACCAAACCAGTCTTCAGTATTCAATCGCTTCATCTTCCTCTTATACACGACAACATCAGTATTACGAATGTGCACTCACAATAGAGAATATCACGGGGGCAGACACTTTTTCATGGTTCTGTATTATCCTGCACTGCTCCTCAGGTCAGATTTGTTCCTGATCGGTTTGTCTCTTTCCCTGGTTCGCCCTCAGGCCCTGTATTCTGGTCATGGACTCTCTAAAGCTGTCGTACCACCAGCGGATCTACACGCTGTTACGCGAGTGAGTCCTTCGGGAGATCCTCTCTTATCTGGATTCATGTTTTATTGTGTTCGATCATGTCAGAGAACTAAATGTGCCTTCATTCTGAACTCTTAAAGAGTACATTCCTGTGATTCCCCTGTAAACGTCACCTCATCCCGCAGGTATCTGCAGGTGGAATGGGAGGTTCGGAAAGAAAGCGCTCGAGCTTTTACCAGTGAAAGCATAGGCGTGAGTCCGTGCAGGGTCCCGCTGCAGGACAACAGCAGCGACTGTGGCCTGTACCTGCTGCAGTATGTGGAGAGCTTCCTGCAGGTACCTACATACTGGGTTGATGCCAAAATATTGGCATTGCCCCGATACCTTGTGAACCATGGTGCATTTTTTACCGGGTCAGAGCTTTTTTTAATTTCTTCAATGCTGAATGTCAGAAACATTAGTCATCCAAGTTACCTGACATTTCGCGGTCTGCCGTTCAGTGGGATTTTCAGTAATGCAAGAGATTTGGATCTCCGGAACTCAAGTTACACCTGTTTGCTTTGCAGCCTTTAGTTGAATCCTGGTTTGTATTAAAGCACATACTGCACTACAAATGGTAAACTGCATACTTTTAAGTATCAAGTCCGCTGGTATGGAGGTTTTGGGACAAACAAAAATGTATATAATTGTATTTATTTTTTTTATACTTTATTTTATTTTTATTGAAATATATTAAATATATGTGTATATGTTAAATATATTATATTTGAATATTTTAAGTATATTAAATATTTATATTATATATACTGAATGTTGAATATTGGATTATATTAACAGTATTACATATAATGACATTTTATACAATATTAACTCAAATTTACTTAAAAAATATTTTAATTTTAATAACAGGCCAGAGAAAACCAACCCTATATATATATATTATAAAAACAATAAATATTAAAATAATTTTAATAAATTATATATTCATCCTTTTGTTTAAAGGGGTCCTATTATGCTTTTTCACTTTTTTAATTTTAGTCTGTGTAGTGTGTATGTTTGGGCATAAAAAAAGATCTAGAAAGTTACAAATCTCAAAGTCCTCTCCAAAGGGAGATATTTAGTTTTCAAGAACTACAGCAAACGGCTCGTTTGGACTACAGCGTTTGTTTTCCGGGCTTTGTGATATCACAAAGCGGCTCATTAGAATTTCATTACAAATAATTCCCGCCTACAGAAATGTGAATGGTTGGGGGGTGGGGAGGGGCGAGGTTGTGGTTAGAACGCTTGGTTGAGTGAGCGCATGAGACGAGACGACGAAGAAGAAGTGCTGCTGCAGAGTGAGTGCATCAGAGAAAACCAAGAAGAAGAGCTGCTGTGCTGTAGCCTCACATTTTTTACATGTCTAGAACAGCGGTTCTCAATTCCAGTCCTCATGTACCCCCGCTCTGCACATTTTGTTTCTCTTATTGCTTCAGACGTTTGTTATATTTGACTGTAAGTGCCCTGCGAAGTGGACATTACCGGATATTCCTCCATGATTCCAGTTTGAAGGGAGCGTATATGTTCCATACAAAGGGCATTTAAGTGTGCGAGACGTGAATTTAAATTGTATTTTGTTATGTTACAACCTTCAATTGAAGTAAAATTATTTTTAAAAATGTGATAAATAAACATATTATATATCATATATATATCACCTGATTAAAGTGTTACTTTACTTTATAAAAGCATACTTTGAGATCATTTTGATAACATGTTTATGCATTACTTTCAAGACATAAGTTTAACACGGCAAAAATAGACTACAATTAATTAATTTGCAATGTAGCTAGTTGCCATGGCAACCTCAAGTCCTTTCTGTTTTTCTATGTATTTGTCACGAATCCGGTCTATGAACTTCTGTTCACTCACCACCAAAGGCTCACGACATGGACTCTCACACTACACAGACTGTTACACTATACCCTGGACCACATTTCCCATCATCCATTGCACTGATTGTACACAGCTGTAACCAATCACACGCTCACCGGGAAGCTATTACACACACTATATAACATCCACCCAGATCCTGCTCTAGTCGCCGAGTATTGTTTGTGCATATCACTGTGTTAGCGATAGCATCTTTACGGAGCCTTTCCGTGTTTTCTAGTCCAGTCTAGCCTAGTCTTGTATCTTAGCCTGTTTATCTCGTCTTGTCAGTCTGCCGCCTGCCGCCTGCCCTGGAATTATCGACTGTCTTGGATTAACCCCTTGTCTTGCCGTTTCGGACTCTGTTCGCCCCTCGTCTGGACTATTGTCTGTATGTTTGGATTATCCGTTTGCCTTGCCCCCTGGATTACGTTAGCCGTCGATCGACCCACGCTTGTTTACTGGACTGCTCTTGTGTCTTGCCCTCAATATACATGTTTGCCAGTGTTCGACCCTGCCTGTGTATGACCATGTCTATGAATAAAGCTTTGCGTATGGATCTGCACGTTTCACGCTTCTGTCACTCCGTAACAGAAGTCATAGTAAAATCACTTGAATTTGATACAGAGAATGAATTTTTAGGTTTATAGAAAAATGAAAATGTGTTTAAAAGTGTGACTGACCAAATTGAGTAGCTAAGTTTGGCCACCCACCTAAACGATTTGTAAGGATTGCAGACGTTAGTTTGCAGAGGGTTGCCATGATTAAGCCTTCGATGTCATCATACAACAAAAGCACTAGCAGTTTGCCGAACATAACTGGGACTTTCATTGGGACCATTGGTATTTATGGTGTGACCAAAACAAAGGTTTTTTTTTAAGAAAAAAAAAAAACAAGAGGTGGGATTTGGTGGCCAATAATTGTGGCAGATATATTATAAAAATGTGTTTTGTCATTTTTTCTTCAATAATAAAAAAAAAGTTTATTTTGAATGAAAGTCCAATAAGATAAACTGCAAAGACATTTTTCCAAAGACAATTTGTTCTTATTTACCAAGAGTACCTATATTAGTGAAGGGCACTGAAAGATACAAAAATAAAAGTTCAATTAAGGCTGCAATATGGAAGGTTAAACAAAATTCCATTATTGAGGAAGTACATGAAAATCTGTTCACAACCACAGTCTTGCAAATTCTGTAAGGCTAGCATCTTTTATTCGTATGTTTATGCCATTCTGCTAAATATAGAAAAGAAGGTCTATGTATACAGTGAAATCACCCACAGGAGGCGGGTTTATGTAGCAGTTTAGCCAATTGCTGTGAACATCTTCAAGACATGACATAAAATTTAGCCAATCAGCATCCTCAAATCTTGTCCGAAATGGACGATTTCTCTGTCGCATGAAACGAGCCACTGCTATAGTCTGGACTGGACTGTAGGGGCTGAATAAAGCAAACCAGTTTCTCGCTCGTAAAGTTTTGATGGATGACAACTGTAGTCAAGGTAAAGACGATTACAATTTCATACAGAATCTGTTATTATTAATGTGAATCAAACCATATATGTGTGCTCTCTGCGCACTAATATCTTTTTGCACGAGCACATTTCAGTATGCTTGCATGTCTAATGAGTATTTTATATAGGATTTATATTATTATTCTTTGTTTTGTTTTGCGATGTTCAGTGGTGTTAATGTACATATGGGCCTCAGACATGAACACTGTTGAACTGTTTACTGATGATTTCAGCTGGAAATATTACTCTTTGATATTGTCTTCTTGCATTATTGACAAACTGTTTTCCTGTTTAACACTGTAAAGCTGCTTTGACACAGTCTGTATTGTATAAAGTTATATAAATAAAGGTGACTTGACCTGACTGATGATGTTTAGTCACCTTCAGATCGCCACATTCTGCAAATTCAGAAAGTTTTTATTTTTTGTGTTTTGCTGTGTTTAATAATTCTGAATGGATCTGTGTACTGTATGTATGCTGTGGTTAAGGCGGCTGCTATAGTGGTCTGTTGGCATCCCCAGGTGGTCCTGTTTGGTACTGCAGCTTTACTTGTAGTTATTTATATAAAAAGCTCTAAACAAATGTATCATTTATTTTTTCATCACAGATTTTGTTGTTCCACTGTATACATAAATTATGAATTATGAAAATGAAAACGTATTTTTAATTTACCTGGGAAAAAACTTAGAGAACCATCCTCAAACGTAATCCTGAACTTGGTAAAACCAATTATCTTTATTTAAAATATGTTTCAAGCTTTCAAAATATTTTAAGTCGTAATACATTTTCCTTTAACTGTTTAGCATTAAATAATATTGGGATGTTTGCTAAAATTGCTGGATGTGGCACAGCCCTAGACCTAGTAAATTTTCCACCAGCTCCCACTGTGTAGCACTGTGTAGCGTCTGGACCACTCAAACACACAATATATATTTTGTTAGCTAGATTTAACAAATACTCTGTAACACCCCAGGAAGCCGAACAGGCCCCTGGTTCCATGGCAACCCTGACACCCGATACATTTACGACCTCCTGGAATTTAGGTGAAGAAAATCGCTTCCTTGCCGAGTCACTTAATCATGCAGATTTATGCTACAAGCTTTTGTAGAATTGTACAGTAAGAAAGTTATTTCCTTTAACCAGGAAATTAACGTTCTTAGAATTGACAAGACAGTTGACCCTGAGAGGTCAGCTAAATATCTACAGCGGATCTAAATATTCATAATTAATTATAACTAGTTATGATTAATTATTCATATTTCCTCATGAGCTGATTCGTTACAACTGATAGTGCCTTGTAAATTAGTTTGCTGATGGTTAGTTAATATGATGCAGGTTTTTGCAGTGAAATACCACACACAAAAGAGAAGCAACTGTTTAGTGAATCTCCAGCATAACTAACTTACTTTTTATAGTTTTATTTGTGCCTCTAGGGTACAATGTAGAGCCATTTTATGGCACGTTTAGAAATATCTGTGGCGTACCTGTCTGGTAGTTTGACTTAAGCACATCTGCAGGCAGAGCAATCAGCCAGTTTAACATGCCAGCAATCCCACCTGCGAGAAGAACTCTGGATGTGCTGAGATGATGAATACTTGGAAGAAATGAAATGAACATTAGTTTTGAATCCTGATATTATTTATAGCTAGAATGACAAAGTTGTGACTCTCACCACTCTCCCTCCGGGGTCAGAAACTGTTTTAAGTATTCATAAGTTCACAGTACACACAGTACACACATAAGTACACACCATTTGAAGGCACATCTGAAAGAAAATGAAAAAAAAGATGCATCCATAAAGGCCACCTATTAATTTTAGTTTACAGGAAATATATCATGTCACACAATATCACCGGTCACTGTAAAATACTGTGCCGTTAAATAACAGTTATTTACTGGCAGCAGGGTTGCCAGAAAGGTACTGTTAATTTACAGCTCTCAACCGTTAATTTACAACTCTTAATTTTTACAGTGTTTTACAGTGTAATTCTATCATGGAAATTAACTCCGCTCCCATTGCTTCAAACAGTTCAAGTTTAAAAACTAGCATTCATACGATGTTAGTACTGTGAACTTATCTCATTTGAGCCCACTGAGAAGGAATATTTCTTAGTATAAAACTGCAAACACATAATGTGTAACAGCAAAATAACTAAAAACGACTTTAACTCAAATCGTTG